AGGAAGAATTTAAGTGATTGTGCCTTAAGAATTGTATTTGAATGAAGTAAACTGGAACCTCAGAAAAGACCAGGTGTGGATGCACGTGTGATTTGTTTGGGGTACATTCTTCTCCGTTTCCTTCCCCGAAATGAAAGTTTTGGAGAGAAAGAAAACAGAACTTGTGTGTAGCTCGGGGTAACTTAGGGATGTTTTTTTGCAGTGTGTTATTATGAGTGAATCGTGTCTTGTCTTTTGTGAAATAATTAGGACATTTTCACGAGTTCTGGGTAAATACTGCTTCTCCTTTGTTTGCTTCCTGGGTACTGTCCATCACGCCTATTAAGTTTGAGCAAATCTCTTTGAAGAGTTTTACTGCTGCCTCCGTCGGCTTAGCTGAATCTTGCTGATGCAATACTAAGAAGGTTTGCTTCATGGCAGTCTACAAAACTAGCTGAATCTTGCTGATGCAATACTGAGAAGGTTTGCTTCATGGCAATCTGCAAAACTTTCGCTCAAAAGTACCTACAGTAGAGCTGTGTAATCGTAGCAGCTGAACTCGTTGGATTCTGTATTTGTTGGCTTTTGTGCTTGGGATCATTTTAGTGACTGTTTTAAACAGGCCTAAACTTGAACTGTGTTCTCATCATTCGTTTGACTGGACTCTGTGCTGGGGCTGTGGATATTTCCACTCTGGTGAACACATTGCCTCTATTTATGTTACTTCACAGGCTGCTTCTAGTAGATGTGGCTCTCAGCTAGGGCTTGAATTGCATCAAACTTCTCTGAAAACCTTCGGAGTTTTCTGAGGGGGTGTTTAAAATATTTAATAGGGTTGAGTCATTTGCGACTAATCTTTTCTCTCGTTCTCACAGCATATTCGAAGAAGGAAGATGCCGATTGTCAAAAACTTGAGCAGAGCTGTCAGCCAGCTGCTCCAGAGCTCGGGTTGTGGATGTGGGATTTCCATCGTGCCCGTTCGATGCATTGGAGTCTCGCCTCGCCAGGTTGCCTCCGATGCTAGCTTTCACTCGGTTTCTTTTGCCGAGTCTGATCATCCTCGGGTGCTAATCACAGGTCAGCCTTCCTGTCATAACTGTATTCCCGCTCCAGCTTCTCAGTCGAGTCCCTCGCTCCCCTTCTCCCTTCCAGAAGACTGGAAGCAAAAACACTCAAAAATATTCTGGAATTGTGATGATCTTTCCCATATGGGGATAAGATCAGAGTCCCGTGTGAACTTCCCTACTATTTTTATTCCCAAAATCTACCAGTTCATTGGGTTTTCCTTGAGAACAATGTAGAACCTCTCTGACTTGCTGCAAAAACCAGTACTCGTTTCTGATGTGATACGTGTAATAATGGAACTCTGTATTTTGATGTCGCTTTTTCTTCTGATTTTTGTCTGTTGTGCGTTGTCTTTTAGGTGGTCTTGGCCAGCTTGGAGTGGGACTCGCTAAGCTTCTGAGGTATGTCATGGTCCTCTGACTTGCTGTTAGCCAGGAATTCAGGCTTTAGACATCACTTCTAGAAGCAATAATTTTCTGGAAAGCTGTTTATAGAAGAATCCTAGTGACAACTGCAGATTCTTTTTTGCTTCTTAGTTTTGTAAATAACTTTACATTTTCGCCACCTTTTTATTTTTCACTCCTGTGCTTGGTTTAGGTTCTCTGACGTACTTTCTGTGTGTACATTGGTCACGATTCCCAAAATAACATAATTTTGTCCAAGGGACTAGCCGCTGAGTTCAGTTCGCTTCCAGTTAAATGGAAGTATTCAGAATCTGAATCCCCAGAGGGTGGTCAGGTTTCCCTTTCTCTTTTTTCGGTCTGGCCAAATAAGGCTGGATTTGAGCGCTCAATAGATTTTTATGTGGGTACTACAGGAGAGAAAAAAGTTCTAACATCCACTTGAAAAAATACGTAGTCCCAACTGTTGGGCTTTGCAACTGCTGACTTCTATCTCTCTGAGAATTGCAGTGAAAGGACTTCAGGAATAAGGTGCCCTATTTAGTGAAATACAAATGAAAATAAAGATTAAGCTACGAGATCTTGAAGTTTTTATGATTTGATGAAAGATGAACTGATGCAGCAAAAGGAGTAAATCGAAAATACATTTCTTCTGGCTCTTTCTGTTCCCCCACCTCACATACACAGTTAACCTTATTTTTTCCATGGTATCTTTTCAAGAGATGAAAAATGCTCTTGAGAGCCCTCCCTGGTCCATGTCGTTGTCCTTATCCGCGCCTGCCCAGCTCCAGGGTATCTGTCATTTGCACGGAGACAGGGTTGATTGCAGCGGATTTGGACTATGACCAAAACTGAGCAAACTCACTGCGTTGAACACCGTGTGGCCATTTGAATGTTTTCTGCCGTTTCTGTGATCTATTTAAAAATCATCCAGTAGTGGGAGGCTGGAATGTACTGCAGTGCCATCAGACTTGCTCTCTGCGACAGCCGTGTGTTGATTAGAAAAGCACAAGGCAGAGATTCCTCGGTTGTATTTACTTGGTTGATATAAAAGTAGCTGCAGTCACAGCAAGCCCAGTGGCTTCTTGTAGTCTGCAGGGGGCAGTAGGTTATCTCTGAGTAAAATTCTCAGAAAGAAGAGGGTAGGAAGGTCTGTCTTAACGTATTTTTATTTTTAAAAAGCTTTCTCTATCTTTATGCAGTCTGACTGCTACTAGTAGTAGTTTATTAGTTTTCTAAGATGCTATATTGACATTTAAAGGATCGCTGGGGTTTTTTTGTTAGTGCAATGACTGATTTCATTGTGGAAATTATTGTTCTTTTGATACTGCTCCTGCAAAACAAAGTAGCAGTGTGTCAACTTAGGAATTATCGTGAAGAGTGTGGACTCACAATACCATGTGGGTATTTTTACACAGGAAACGCTTTGGAAAGAACAACGTGATCTTGTCTGACATTAGAAAGCCTGCGGATAATGTCTTCTATAGTGGTAAGTGACTGGGGAAGCGTCTGGAAAAAAATCTTGACTTTCCCTCTGATGTTGATAGTCTAATTACCAAAGTCTAAATGATAAGTGGATTAAACTGAACAAGTTGCTGTTCAAAACTCCTGGATAATGCCCTCCTGCTTTATAATCTCACCAAGCCATTGATTTCTTCTGTCTAGTATTCCCTTTTCCTAAGCATTTTTCTTTGCATTTTTCCACTGTTGCTTTGCCACTTTGTTGACCGGAATAACTGCTTGAGTCAAGTTGAGCTTGGCTGTTGTGCTCCTGCAGTGAAAAGGGATGTGTTTATTCTTTTGGAGAGAACAAGTTGGAAATGAGATTGGCGCTTTGTTTTTCCACGTTCAGGCGATTTTTATAAGGTGGCTGTTGAGTAGGATTTTTGGATTCTTTTATTTTCATTAGAAATGTGCCTAAGTTTTTCTTTATTATTGCTGTAATGATGTATTTAGACATTTGAATAGCGTACGCTAGATGTTCCCCGTTTTCACTCTGAGTGAATAAAATGGGAGTTCCTGCATCAGTCTGTTGTTGAGGTGAAGGTAGCAGTTTCCCTTCATTTCTACTGCTTATGACTAATTTATTCACACCGCCGTTAGGTGTGCGTTCTGCTGTGCAGTCAAATCCTGACCAGAGGTATGGTCAAGAAGCAGCAATTTGAGTTCCGTGTAGAACTTCTCTTCACATCTGTTCTTCTTGGCATTCAATTTCCTACTTGTTCCATTTCTTCTAGGTCCTTTTATCTACGCGGATATCTTGGACTACAAGAATTTACGGGAGATAGTGGTGAATAATCGGATAACGTGGCTGTTCCACTATAGCGCTTTGCTCAGTGCTGTTGGAGAAGCCAACGTCCCTTTGGCCAGAGCTGTAAATATTACAGGTATGTGACAAGGGTCTCAAGTTCATGACTCCTGCAGAGGCTTCAGAAGGTGCAGTGTACGTTCTGATAAATCCTGTTGTTTGTTCTAGGTTTACACAATGTTCTGGATATTGCAGCTGAGCATAATCTGAGACTCTTTGTTCCAAGCACTATTGGAGCCTTTGGGCCCACCTCACCTCGAGATCCAACTCCTGATCTCTGCATTCAGAGACCGAGGACAATCTATGGAGTCTCCAAGGTTCACGCCGAGCTCATGGGAGAAGTGAGAATTTTTCATTTTCTTTATTTCATGAAAATTTGGGGGGAATTTCATTGCTTTTGTAATATTCCTCACTGCAGCGGGTTTTTTTCCCCCTTCCTTCAGGCTTTAGTACTCAATAGTAGTCTGAGGCAGCTCTTGAGGACAAATATCTTTTGAGTGTTGTTGGAAAAAGTACGAAGAATTGGAAGCTAGCAAACATCTAACTTTCAATATCATTTCTTTCTCTGGTTCTTGTGACTTTGGCCTCACTGCCTCACCTGCCAATATGAATGGCGTTGTGTAAATGACAGCGTACAAACCCCGTGAGAGCATGCTAGGCAATGATGGCTTTTGCTGCCCCTCCCCAGAAGACTCTAAAGGCAAAGCCATGGGAGTCTGTACACGCACACCTTCTCTGTTGGCTTTGTAGTTTTTTAGAAACATAACATTGCTGAAGCTGCTATTTTTACATTTGATTTCCTCACCCTTCAAATTTGCGGAGGACAGTGGCAGGTCTGAAGACTGTATCAACCTGAAATGTCTCACAAACGTAGGAGTTTTCAATTTCTGAACGCTAGACCCTACGTTAGAACCCCGTCCATGTCCAGAATCCACATCTACTGATGCGGGTGTAAACTGGAAGAGGGCAAGCAGGGAGACAAGCTACCTGGAGACTGTTCAGTAGATCCTTTTCTTTCACCCCTGTCATGGGATGACTGCAGAATGAAGGTTCATCCTGTGGCAGCTTTCTCCTGTCAGACTGATGAGCTGTGTGGCCTAGTGTGGATGTGTAAAGCTGTGTTTCTTTCCTCCCTCCCTAGTACTACCATTACCGGTACGGCCTAGACTTCCGCTGCCTGAGGTATCCGGGAATTATATCTGCTGACTCTCAGCCTGGCGGCGGAACGACTGGTGAGTGCCTGGTGCCTAGTTCTCAGTGTTGCAGGCAAGAACAGCAAAGCCATAAGCCAATACAGCCATTTTTCATGAGTTTTGTAGAAATATCATCTATGGCAGCATGGAACATCGGTGTAGAGATGCCATTTCAGCAGTATTACAGCAACGCTTTTGTCCGCTCCAGCCTAGGGCGTAATTTTGTAGTCTTTGCCTTTAAACAGTACCTGAGAGATTTTGCATTAATTACACTCACTGAGACCATTTCCTTTAAGAATATTTTCAACTCTGCTGTCTTGCTGCAATGTGCAGATGCTAAATAGCGTCAGGATGGTTCGGAATGACTTACACTCCTGCTGTATGACGTAAATGATAAACAGTGCTGCTGCACGATTTTACACAGGAGACTTAGGGGATGGTCTGAGGGTTGTTGACTGTCAGGAAGCAAACAACAGAGTGATGAGTACACCCATCCATTGTTCTTTTCCACAGATTATGCTGTCCAGATTTTCCATGATGCCATAAAGACCGGCAAATTTCAGTGCAACCTGAAGCCAGACACTCGGCTCCCGATGATGTATATTGATGACTGTCTGAAAGCGACTCTCGAGGTCATGGAGGCTCCTGCAGAGGCCCTGAGCATGAGGACATACAACATCAGTGCCATGAGCTTCACTCCTGAAGAGCTGGCGCAAGAGGTGCAGAAGCATGTTCCTGAGCTCCAAGTGACCTATGACGTTGATGGAGTCAGGCAGGCCATAGGTTAGTATCGGCCTCCTTGGCAGCGGGTAAGAAAAAAACGTTGGATTGCTGTATGTTAAGGGCAAAACAGAGTTTCTTTTCTTTTTGGGTGCTTGCAGATGGCTCCTATACAGTTCGAGTCTTATAGTTTTGAAATTCAGCTTTGGTAGTTCAAATGGCCAGTGATGATACGTCTTGAAGTTTAAAGAAATGTTTTCTTAGACCTCATGCTCCCTGTTTCCTCTTTCTTTTCACTGCAGCTGACAGCTGGCCAATGAACTTTGATGACAGGAACGCCCGAAGGGATTGGGGTTGGAAACACGATTATGATCTCCCTGAGTTGGTGACTACAATGTTTAGCTTCCTTGGGTCTGACTCCAGGATTGCTCAAGCTAACTGAAATACTTGTAAGATGTTTCCAGATTTCCACAGAGGACCAGGAAGAAATGGCTAAATTAGTTTATAATTTTCTGAGTCTTAGAGCATGTCAATTATTAATTTTCGTACGTAGCTATAGAGTTGGGCAGAAGCATACTGTAGCTGGAATGTACTGTTAGATAAACAACATCGTTTGGTACTGTCTTCAAGCACAGCACCGATGACAAACACAGAATTCTTGGAACTTTCACGCTTAAGCAGCTAGAAAACAAAACAAAACAAAACAAAAAACCCCACACTTACTCCTGGCTGATGACTCTCCAATCATTCCTAGCCTGCCTCTTCTTTGGCAAACAACGTGGGGCAATATTGTCAAACCTGGTGTTTCGGGCGTGTCCCGCAAAGTTAACGATAGGTTTCTCATTTTCCTGGTGGAGAATGTCGGATCACAGTAAGATACGATCCTCTCTGCTCTCTGCTTACAAAAGCGAGAGCAGAAGAGCTACTTCAGGTTTCCAAATTGCAGGGGTCGTTGCAATTCTAGTTTGAAATCAAACTTTGGTCGATAGTTCCTATTTATATACATATATATATATAGTGCTGTATAAACATACACTTTTCTATACGTAGGGCATACAAAGTAGCATTATTCTTATAATGCTTATAAATGTGAAGGGGAATAGGACTCGTATTTTCATTATGCTTTAAAAAACAGGGTTTGCAAGGCAAGCTTTGTCCCGTTCTTTGAAAGTGCAGCTGCCTTCGGTTTAACCTCGGAGCTAGATCTGAAATCCGAAGAGCCGTTACGTGTACGTGAATCTGGGGCGTATTTCACGAAGACAATGCCCAGGTATGGGTTTCTTGTTCATTAGCACTATTTTTGGTTGTCCCGGTTGTTTGCCGTGCTAGCACGACAACACACTGCCCGGAGCAAGTTTTAAAGGTGGGCTGATGATGGAGCCTTACGGTAGAGTCAAGTCAGCCTTTGAAATCTGTTCGTGTTCACTATGTTTTCTGCGTGCACTGTTATTTGTGTAGATGCTATTTATGTGTCACTGTCAGGCGCTTTTATTCGTTAGAGAGGGATCCAGAAGCCGAAACCAGCTACTAGCCGCAGTTAAGGGCTGTTCTGCTCGTTGAGTTTCATGCACAGGAGATTCTGGGATGAACAAGGGAGTCTTAGTAGATGCACGCAAGGAAGGTAGGTCTGTTCAAAAGTTACGTAGGAAGCTTTGAGAAATGGCAAACTGGAGAGATGGGAAAGCCATTTTGGGTAAAATACAGGTTTCCGTGGATGTGGATCTGAGCTGGTGGCTACTATAGCTATGGCATGCCTTGAGATACAGCATCTGGGAGCTTAGGATTTTATAATTTTTTTCGAAGAAAAAATATCTTTCACTTTCAAGATGACTGGAAACTCCCCGTGTGAAGCTCTCCGTCTTTTGCCTGGTATACTCCAATAGCACGTGTGGGTAAACACGTTCAAGTACTTTTTGGTTTTGCCTACAACTTGTTTGCTGTGTTTTCTGTGACGATGCGTTGGTAGCTGCGAGTCTGTTGCGCTCGCTGGGACCCTGCGGCGTTGCCTCAGGAAGCGGACAACTGACGTGACCAGATTTCTGTCTCTTGGTGAAGGAGGGAATGCTGCAGGGAATCTGTTTTCTCATGAAAAGTAACCTTCAAATGAAGATTCTGTGGTGAAACCCCAGTTATTTTAAACATTTGTTAAACTTTTACCGCTTGGTTTTGTATGTATCTTACTGTTTCATCTGTTGGCAAAGTATGTGTTTCCCAGGTATTTAAGCCCAAAAACCTCTAAGGTTGTGGCCTGTTATTGAAACTTTTTTTTTTTTTATATCGTTTACGTTTCTGAAAAGACAAGTTTTTAAACTTTGGCCGCTGTTGTAACTATCGCATTGTTCAAATGTAGTATTTGGCCCAATGGGCCAGCAGAGTTGGCCTTCCATTCATACCCTACAAGGAAAGACTGGCTCAGGTTTTGTCCTCTGCCCTGCCAAAACGGGATTATCTCCTAGTAAACTGTTACACTGAGCCTTCAGGTGAAGGGCTTTAATACGAGCTGAAGTGTCTTGTCCATTCCAGTCTCTCGTAATTCAGACCCTGGGGACTCCTCGATGCCTCTGTTCCACAATTGGTGTAAATTAAAGAGTTGTTGATGGGTCTCACTCCGTTTCTTTACTTCACTCAAAGTCATGGGGTCCACTCCCCTCACCCGTGTGCAGAGCTTCAGTTAATGCTAACAAGGGTGAAGAGCAGGAAT